AAACGTAGCCATAACTGCAATTGCGTTAGTTCCGATGATGTACAATATTCAATGCATTTGGACTAATATTGCAGTTTCACATGAACAGGTTAATGAACGTCGATTTAATTCAACCTTATAAGTAAAACTGATAATATTAATGAAAATGATTTATATATGGTATGAAATGTATATGCACACATATTTAAAGGAATTGTCTTGTTTTTTTGCACATTTGTGTGTCGGTTTATAGAGAAAACAATGATGTAAATTGATTGGCCAGGTGCGCGTTTGTCGGAAACGTTTTATGATTCACTATCATTGTTTTCGATAATATAATCAATTCATATTCGATTTAAAAATATTGTGATGACAGGATATCAAACTCTAACTATATTTATACGAAAATTGTTTAAAAATATATAAACCATGTCATGTCTTAATTTGGACAAATCTTACATCCATATTCTAATATATAGTACGTACTAGTCCCATATATAAAAAGCTATCTTTTTGCATCTTCCAATGCATACTTATGAAGAGAAATAGCTACATAATCAGAAAATTCTTATCCTAAACAAAATATTCGGGTGTTGTGAAATGTTATTTTCATTTACGTTAAATTGATGCCAAACAGGTGCGCGTGTTTCTCAAAAAAGATACACAGTCAAACTGTCTAATTGTTGATATATTCAGGACACTATTTAAATGGAAAAATCAGTCATTTTATGTTTTGTCTAAAGAGTCTTAAATTCTGACATAGAAGCCGAGACCTTTCACACAATTAAAGGAAATTAGGTGAGATATGTACTAAACAGCATACCAGTGTCGTCTTTTTCGACGTCGCAAAATGCATAAAACAAGCAATGACGTCAACTAAAATGGTGTATTATTTTCAGCAATTTCATTACATTTGAAGATATGGCTAGTACTCTGGTAATAACGATGCAAAATTAGTCAAAATACATCTACACAAACAGGACAATATGGGAATCTAAGAACTAACTTATATATCGGATAGGGCCATCCAAATCGCTATTACGTGCTTTCACATGTAATACGTTGTCATTTTTCTTGTAAATTGTGAAACTACCAAACTGCATCCGCTCACATTGGGGAACTTTGAATTGGGATAGTTTGGTTCACCATGAACATAAAATAACGAAAATATAGCGTCCGTATCCACAACAAATTCTCTCCAAGTGATCTGAGTTACATGGACCTAGTGTTACGCATAACGGAGTTATGCCCCCCTTATCATTATATGTGTATGACCTCTCTGTCGTCGTTTGACGTCATAGAAGAAAATCCATTTTTGACATTTATTGCGAGTCATTTTTAATGTTGAGCGTATAACGTTATGCACAAGCACATAAACCCAATTCATATACACTTATGTCGTTCAGATATCAAGCTGTATTTTCTTCGCTAACACTTTCCGTAAAGATGCCACATTAAAAAATTCGTAGCACAGTGCTTTTATCGGTGCGCGATAAAAAGCGGATAAAATTACTGTTTTTTAACGCATCAAAAAAAATTGGACAACATTTAGCAAGGTCTATTTCTCAAACCGCCGAGGTAGTTGCACTTATATTTATACCATCGGATAGGAAATGTAATATTCTACATTTCTGGGTATAAGTTTATAGCCGTACGTAGATCCAGGACCACGCGAGCGCAATTCTCGCACAACGATCACTTTTCAAACCGTATGAAAATGTGCGCCTGAAAAAAAACTCGGCAGCCAGGGGGTTAAAAGGTCATTTTCAGCACTTGAGCTTTGTCTAAAATAATACTGGATGGTATCAAGAAACAGGAAATTTCCCGCAGCATTCGAAACTGTCAAGTGTATGTGTGTGCGTGGGATATTTTGATTTTTATTCGACTTCAAATTGAGGGTTGAAGGGGAAGGACATATATGTCCCTGTGGCATCCAGGGGGGTTAACACCCAAATCATGTAAAGTGTGTAGTAGTAGATCAGAATGATCTGTAATCAGTGAACAGAGCAAAAATGATAACGTGACGTCACCGGTGTAATAGTACACGTTGGCGCTTCACATGACAACTATCATAGGCGACACATAACGGTAATAGCTATGTCGTCATCATGCGTATGACGTTAAGCAGTTAGTGACAATAGCGGGAGACGTAAAAGGTAGTCATGGGTGACAGTAAGGTTACGTTTGTGACGTCATCGTGTTTTTGACGTCATAGTTAGAAAAAATAGTGGTGGACGTGTATGCATTATGGTTTCAGTGCACAAATACATACTGAGTTACACTGAGAAAGTTACAAAATTATACTTTTGTATTAAGCTTAGGTTTAACCAGCCTTATGAACATTTGTTCTTTTTCCATTCGTTAAACAATTGATAAAACGGAAAGATAGTAAAATTCCCGCATTCATCAATGTGTTTGCTTACATTTATACATCGCAGATTAGGATCTCGAATTTGCTGTTTGTGTACAGTGAGTCGGTCCTTTAGTTGCGTTCCAGTTTCTCCAATATAATGCTCACCACATCCCGCACATGTTAAAACATATATAACATTTTTGCTGCGGCAGTTCATGTTGGTTTTGATAGTTAATAGTTTGTCTTCACAAAATGTAAATTAACAGTGTTCAGTTATGATTGAGGAAGTTCCACATCGAGGTGTGTGACATTTTGTTACACTGACAGCGTTTGCATCTTGTGAATATTTAGATGGACAAAGGATTTGTTTTAGATTTTTAGGCTGCCTAGTGCTTCGTATAAATTTAGTCTTGGATAAACCCTTTTTCATAGTTCACTTTTATACAAAATTGGAAGATTTGCTTTTATAATGGGCATAATTGTACAGTTATTAGGATTGTAGGTACAAACAAATGGAAGAATGTCCACCTCTGTATTTGTTTCTTTAGTTTTCATAAGTGTCTCTTTTGGAACTTTTACTGCTTTATGAACGGCATTTTCAACTACCCCACGTGGATATACATATATATAAATGGCCTACCTTTAGAATACAGCACCACAAACTTTAAAAATACGTCATAATACCCTTTTACGTAATGTAATGTGATTTTGTTCGAAAGCACGTTCTCGAAACAATGCCCTATGACGCCTCCATGGCAACACGGTTGTCTAGCTCAGCGAGTGTGTATAAGGTCCGCGCACTGGTGTTTCATCTCTACGAACTATGTCATTGCATATGCCCAACGATGTTGAGAGTTTCCAGTAGTTTTTTGCAAGCACCAGTTTGAAATATTTTTCTTTTTTTCACTAATACGCTCATATTTATTTGTATTACGGGGTGCTGAGGTGTAATGTTTTGTGTATTATTGTATTTTGTATTTTTTAAATTTAGCGAGAATGCGTTACACCGGTCTATATTATATATATTCGATTATTCGCAATTTTGGTCCATGTAATTATTTAAATTATGTAAGTATATTTTATATTTCGGTTTCTAAGTAACTATTAAGTCTAAATGATTTACCAATGTGAACTGACATACATATATATTTTTTTCATTCAGTAATTTGAACCATTACATAGAAATTAGTATTTTATTTTCGAAGCGGTAATGATGCATTACACTGCACACGTCAGTCATGTTTGTGCCGGTTCGGTCAATACATTTTATTCATTAGGATTATTTCAAGGGGTTCGGGTTCGGGTTCGGGTTAGGGTTAGGGTTTAGGGTCCTAATCCAATATATTAGTTACATGTTGTTTTTCCTTTTGCATTTTAATACTGCCGGTTCGGTCAATCCATTCTATTTATTAGGATTATTTCAAGGAGTTAGGGTTAGGGTTAGGGCTGAGGGGTTAGGGTTAGCGTTAGGGTTAGGGACCTAATCCAATATATGAGGTAGATCTACATGTCCGGTGTAATACGTGAGTACCATTTGTTGTTTTTCCGTTTGCATTTTAATACTTTTTTTCACACAAAAACGGGAAACGAAAAACGTCGAAAGTACACTATTAAATGGTTTAATGTAGAAATTTGGGGCTAATGGAAATTGGCCTGGAATTGCACTCAAGCCTCTTTCACACGCAACATTTGTTCAGTAATGATTCGACGGCTAACTCACCCTCGTGCCGTCACTACACATGCTCATGTCGTGCGTGAGCACCTTCTGTCAGCGCTTGCCAACGTGTGCGTAATTCGTCGGCAAGGCTTCCTCTCCTTTTCTTCATGGGATTCGGAGTTCAACGGAAATTATTCCACCAACCCTGGTCATCGTCGACACTGTTTAACAATGCCATTCATGACATTTATCGGGAGGTGTGTGAATTTGCCAAAGGGGAGACTGCCTTGAAAGCTTTTCAAAAGGGACAACGTCCTTCTTCCATGCCATCCAACACCTACCAGCCTCGGCAACCGTCTGTTCGGCGTGCCAGAAACACAGCGCCGTCTCGTGGCAGGGGATGTGGTGCCAAGCCTAGATCAGACAGGGGAGGATATCAACGTCGCCGTGCTCCCGCCCGGGGCGACGGGCATAGCTAGAGGCAAGTGAAGTGAGGGACATGCACGACTGGACACTCCCACCTCCAGTCGTCCCAGTTTATCCTACACCGGTAGGTGGGAGAGTAGGGATCTTTTGGGAAAATTGTTCCATCCTAGAGGATCCATACGTCACCGATATATTGAGGCAGGGGTTTCGGCTCCCCCTCCTCTCCGATCCACCTCTGACGCTGTTCCCGCTCCGGCACAATCACTCCCAGATTCAACACGACCTCTTAGCGGAGAACATAGCGATTCTGTTTGAGAAAAGAGCCGTTGAATTACTCCTGTATCCCGTCACAACACCAGGGTTGTATTCTCCAATATTCTAAGTGCCGAAGAAAGGGTCCACGAAAATGAGGATGATTCACAATCTGTCCTATTTCAACGAGACTTTCCTGGAACGTCCTCCGCACTTCCGAATGACGTGCCTTGAATACCTCAATCTATGGTATGCGTCAACGACTTCCTCATCAGCCTGGACCTGCAGCGACAGGAAGTACCTGATCTTTATTTTCAACAATCAACATTCCCAATGGGCTGTCCTCCCATTTGTAATTTCAACGGCCCCGTCGTTGCTCACGCGTATCACAACTCCTATTCCCGGTATCTGCATTTGAGGGGCATCAATTTCGACCCGTACCTGGACGATTGCCTTATGCACCTGTTAGACCATCTGCTTCTAATACAACAACGGAATTTCACCCTTCGTCTGTTGCGCCAACTAGGTTGGCTGGTCAACTTGGACAAATCGGAGCTTGTCCCGTCTCACACACTGACATTCATCGGAGGCCATTTCCAGACGGACAAGAACCTAGTTCAGATTCCTCTGGACAGGTGGGACAAGATTCAGTCTCTGATTCCACGTGAGCTCTCCGAACCTCTGTCTCTCCGAGAGTGGCAGGCACTCATGGGATTTTTGACGTCGGCGCAGGATCTTACCAGCAGAGGGCGTCTTCAACTTCGTCCTCTGCAGCGTTTTCTTCAACCATACATTCGTCGGGCAGACGTTCATCAAGGGTTTTGTCTTCCACCTCAGTTACATCGCTATCTTCTGTGGTGGACTCGCCCATTGAACGTCTTAGGAGGATTCTCTTTGACAGAGCGGCCTCCGGATTACCAACTGTTCGTGGACGCCTCTATGCAGAGTTGGGGTGCTCACTTACACGATCAGACAGCCACCGGCCTTTGGTCGGGTCAACACCAAAGCTGGCATATAAACAGTCTGGAGTTGGAGGCCGTGATCCTCGCTATCCATCACTGGGCGCATCGACTACGAGGAACTTGTCTTCTAGTGGCCACAGACAAAACATCGGTGGTATGGTACATCCGGAAGGAAGGGTCGACACGCTCACAGTTTCTTCTCGATCAGACTTTTCGGCTCTTTCAACTGGTCGATGATCTCCACATTCTGTTGAGAGTTCGGCATATTTCGGGGTGCCGCAATATACTAGCAGACGCTCTCTCGAGACCCGACAGGGTTGCTCCCACGAAATGGATGCTACACAAGGAGGCCTTCACTCTCCTAAGTCACGCACTGGGTTCTCCAACATGGATCTGTTTGCCACCAGCCAAAACCATCAACTGCCAGTGTATATGTCTCCAGTCCCAGATCCAGCGGCTTCGGCGGTGGATGCTCTCAGCCTATCATGGGAGGGACTGCACGCGGATGCGTTTCAGCCACCAGTTCTACTACACAAAGTTCTCGCAAAAGTCAAGGTGACAACTTGCCTGCGACTGATTTTGGTCGCGCCTTGGTGGCCGGCCAGGAACTGGTTTCCCGTTCTAAAAAGTCTAATGGTAGGAGATCCCTTCCCTCTACCCACGTGGAGGAACGTTCTCGTGCACCCTCACAGCCGTCTCCCGCATCCTGCTCCAGATCGGTTCAATCTGCACGCATGGACCATTTGCGGAAAGCACTGAGTGCTAAGGGGTTTTCGGCCAGTGCGATGGCGCACAGAACTTCTACTAGACGCTTGTATGACGACATTGTATGGTGCACCTTATGAACCTCTTGAGAACGCTTCCCTCGCTGATTTATCCAGGAAGACGGCTTTTCTTTTGTCTTTAGCGACTGCGGCTAGAGTGAGTGAGGTTCACGCCCTTGACGTGACTAGGGTCAAGTTTGAACGTCGATGTCATGGTTCTGTGCATTTGGGTCTGTGTTGGGATTTCATCGCTAAAAACCAACTACCAGGTCAACCTGATCGACAGTTTTCCATTCCGCCATTATCATCTATTGTTGGCACTGAAGACGATGCTGAATTGCCTTTATGCCCGATTCGTGCGCTCAAAACTTACACTGATCGCACCAAAGGCGTCCGTGGTAAAAGGAAACGGTTATTTCTTCCCCTATCCCGGGCGTTACAGTCAGATGTCAGCAAAAACACAATTTCCTTATGGTTAAGAACGACCATTCTTCAGTCATATAAAGCGGCTGGGCTGGACCCTCCTACCTCCTCTCATCCACACGAGATTCGAGCACTTGCTTCGACTATGGCACTTCACAGTAATTGTACTGTGTCATCCATTATGCAAGGTTGTTTTTGGCGGTCGGACACAGTTTTTTCCAGTCATTATTTGCGTGACATGGACGTTAACGATGTCCACAGCTTGACATGGACGTTAACGATGTCCACAGCTTCGGACCATTGGTGGTTGCTCAGCAACTAGCCATTGCCCGAAGAAAGTGACCCTCCTGCATTGTGTTTCTTCCCACGGACCACCATGTGGGGAATGAGTTGTTTTTCTTCAGAAACAACTAGGTATGTCAGTTAAGGAGTTATCCTTGTATTTCAAGTCCATGCTTTTTACTGCATTCCTTAAGCTTCGTCAGCTTTAAAATTAGTGGTTTCTTTTCATTTAAGACTCGTTCTGATTTGCGAATTACCACTACTTGGTGGTCACTAGCTGATTCGCTCTCTGTTATAGGCGCATTACCAACGCTTCCCGAGCAGGGGATTTACGGATTGAGCTGGCTGCTATTACATAAGCGAGGCGATCCCTCAGATGACACGCCCACCTTCCAGCCTGTCGGATAAAAGTGCAGGAAGTCAGTAGTGCAGGATTATAGTTAAAAATTTAGTAAAATCTAAATATTTTTTATATTTGTATACTTATCCTGCACTACTTATGATAAGGGCCCACCCTGCGCTATCAGCTACCTCCCCGCTTTATTTGCCATCTGTGGGATTTCTGGCAATAATCTGAGGTGGCTGCATTCGTAACTACTCGTGTCATTCCGGCAAGCCGGATGGCGTCTCGTACCTCTCTCGTGGCCATGTTTACGATTGGGCCCTGTCTTAGCTAAGATACATAGCGTTCACTGACATGAACGCTATGCACAAGAGTTTAAATATGATATGTGGCATTGTGCTGTAATTTGAATGATCCCCTCAACAATTGATTTATTGATGTATCTCCTTATTTTAGTATTTGTTTATAATTCATGATGACAAATAACGCTTTTTGGCCACTTGGTTGCTAATATGGAAATGAAAAGATGATTTTGGCAAGGTTTGTAGCTGGTGCTTGAGACCTAATACAACATGGAAATATTTAAAATATTATACAAGGTAGGAGAGTTGTGAACTGAGAAATATTTAAGGTTTTGGGGTATACATGAAATTTATAGATAATTAATTCGTGAACTCATTACTTATTTAAGTCCTAAATTCAATTAGTAAACTGTGTTTTGAAGGCAAATGTTCAGGAGTAGTACAGAGACACCCATGGAACTGTGAAGGTAACAGCAATAATCTTATATTATATGAAGCATTGAAAACTCACCAGCAATTCCTTTGAAAACAGCTATTGAAAAAGCAGGGGTGGTCAGTCAGTCTAGATTGGAAACGAAAATCTCCATACAATCGTTTTAATTGCCTAAAATGTATGAAAATGTGTTGTCAACAAGCAACGAGGTATGGAACACGTGTGTTACTATTTTTGGGAGGGATATCCCCATCGCGTCACAGATCACGTGATTCAAAATGGCCCCGCTCATATGTGAGCGATCGACTGAGATGTTTGATGGCTTGTAAAGATATATTTTTGGATATTTTGATAACGAAAATAGGGCGCACGTGTAGGTATAAGCACAAAGAAGTAATTCATATAAGTTTTTCGTGCGCAAAAATCGTAACGAGTGCGCGAAAGTGCGACAAAGGATTTCCACCATTGCGCTAAAGCCTATGGAGGTGCTGCATAATATAAATGGGCTTGTTTGTTACTATCAAAATTAAATATATTCAGAGACTAAATAGCGTTCATGTCAGTGAACGCTATGTATCTTAGCTAGCCCTGTCTAAGCGCAAACGAGCATGGAGATGAAAATAGTCTAGCACTATTACCAAGGAAAGATAACTCTGAATTTCAAGACATGGTTCCTTGAATATCCTATTTCCCTTGGGCAAAACAGCAATACACTCACTCGCTTTGTATATATGTTTCAGTGTTTTAAGTTTCTGGTCCTTTAGCTCAAAGTTTATGTTGAAATTGTGCTTTGCATAGTTTAGCGAAGTTTCAAACTTCAACGGTGCCGCCATTTTCATGCTTCGAAATGCGTTTTACTACGCGCGATTTGATTGGCGTACGAGTCTTCTTGTAGGTCACGGAAAGAGGCGAGTAGTTACGAATGAGGTGGCGGACGTCACCTTCCGGTGACGCATGCGCAGACGAGTAGCAGCCGAGACCAGGAAGTGATTGCAGTTCTACGTCTTTTAACATCGTCTGGCAAGCCACGCCAATAAGTGCAGGAAGTAAGTAGCGCAGGATAAGTACACAAATATATAAAAATATTTAGATTTTACTAAAATTGCATATTGAAGTTGTTGACGGCGTTTGAAAAGAAAATGCGCACCACGAGGTTTGGATTGTGAAGGCAGGCAACATGTTGAAACATTTCCCCACGCCTCTGTCACGTTTGCATCATATATGTTTACTTTCATCGTTAAAGACTGTATGGATGGTTGGCATATGGACCGATCCAGTCTGTCAATCAAAACTGGCGCATGCGTCAATTTTGGCCAATCAGCAGGCCGGGCGCGCTGTGTGGATTTGTCAGACTTATTTCCGGGGTCAAACGATGCCTCCGAAGCGATGTGCTTCGAATTATGCCATTTACACTCGCTATATTTATTACATATTGCTGCGATTTGATGTGTACCTTTAACAAAACCATTATGGTCAAGAAAACAAAAATGGAGGCGGATCAAGAAACGCGATAGGCCCAACGATCAGTTAAATGTCTGCACCATCGTTCAGGAAACCTACGTCTCCCTGCTGATTTTTAAAGATAATTTGCACGAATTTCCACACTTTTGCACATGTGCAAAGTCATTACCAATTGATGACAACAAATAGCAGTTTAAGACTTTGACAGACAGACAGACAGACATTTTATTTCAGTATAATAGGCCCTTGGCCCATAATACAACATAGTGCAATTATAAAGAATACATACATGCTGGATATAGGATGACGATTGGAGTACAGGGTCAATTGATAGTAGTAGTGGATTTATGTCTTAGTTTTAATACGGTGGAGAGGAATGTGGTTAATAATTTTAGATAATTTATGTCGTTGCGAGTTTCAATTGTTGGAGGGTGGGTCTGGTGGGTTGTGAAACATTTATTTCATATTTCAGAATATTTACCACAGATGAGTAGAACATGGAACTCATCTTCAACATAGTTTAAACCAACAAAGTGGCAGTAAAGGCAGAGACGTTGATCATAGGGTGTATTTGTGTGGCGGCCGGTTTCCACTGCTAATATAAAGTTGTTACAGCGGAACATAGCCATAACTTTCCTTTGATATGAGAGGAGGTCACATGACAAGTAGTGTTCGACATTAAGTAAAGATTTAAATTGTGAATAATATTTACATTTAGATGAAGAGTCAAGTGAGGAACGCCAATTTTGAAGGAAGCAGTCATAAAATCGCTGCTTGAAGATGGATATAAATGTTTTAATGCAGCCAATTTCTTGTGAGATCCATACAAACCCAAAACCATACTGAAAAAGGATTTGTCTTATATGTGAAGCCCAAGTAGATTTATTATTATCATCGAGAGATTTGAGCATTTGGTAGGCCTGATAAGGAAGTCTATGGTGTTGTAGCTGCAACAGTCTACACCAGTACATTATTGATCTAGAGGTATAGTGGTATTGCAGTGAGAGTCTGCCACACTCTCCAAGCACCATGCTATTGTTGGTATACTTGCTGACTTTGAGAAAAGTCTTACAGAACTTAAAATGTACAGTTTCAGTATGTCTGCAACAAGTGGTTCCCCAAATCTCTGATCCATAACACAGAATAGGTGTAATCATGGAGTCAAATATCTTAAAAATGTCCTTGTGATTAATACATCCAAAATGTTTCTGGTAATTATAGACGGAGAATATAGCTTTGCTTGCTTGAGCTGCTAAACAGGATTTGGCTTTAGTCCATGACAATTTAGGGGTGAACCCAATCCCAAGATATCTGTACATATTCACAACTTCTATTTGTTCACCATTTAAAAACCATTTCTCATAAGAACGGAGAGGACCACCATTTCTAAAAACAATAATTTTTGTTTTGTTCAGATTAACTTTCATTCCTGCATCTGCACAGAATTTTTCAACAATATTAATTTTCTTTTGGAGCTGTAAAGCAGTTGATACATCATCGGCAAATAATAGCAAAAATACATCAGGAATATGAGTTGATGTGAATACACCTCTTCCACCATCTTCCTCCAGCATTTGAGTAAGTTTGTTTATGAATATAATAAAAATCTGCGGACTCAGAGTGCATCCTTGGCGGGTACCAATATTACATTTGAAATAGGGTGATAACCCCGAATCAGTTCTTACACAAGCGCACAGTGTAGAATACATGTTGATAATAAATTTAAGGAATTTTCACTTTACCCCCTTTTCTATCAAACTCATAAAAAGTAATTTATGAGTCAAATGCCTTGGAAAAGTCAATAAAAAGGCAATAGAACCTTCCATTTTGCTTTGACAGATATTTAGTGACCATAGCTTGAAGGGTGAAGATATGGTCTGTTGTAGAATAATCATTAGTCCAAGAGCCCAGGGGTGATTTTTGTACCGAGAGAGGCCAAAAGGTTTGAACATGTATTCTGATGTAAAATTGCCGCACGAATCCAAAAATTTCAGTCTTACAAATCAAAGCTGTAGCTTTAGCCCACAAGGGGGCATTGAAGCGATGACTCCGCATTTTTTTCAGGTAAACTGCTGCATCCTTTTAAATGCCATTTCCCAACTACAAATACTCAGTATTTCACCCAAACTGGTTGCAATGTAAAGAAGAAAGATATATGTGTAATTTCACAAAATAAAATGTTTAACAATGTGGTATGTAGAGTAATGACATATTGCTTTTCTTCGTAGATTTACAATTTTTTGTCATTTTACCACCTGAAGTTCAGTGTAATGAAACTAAAGTATAATATAATATGGTATTTAAGGCTTTTAATTGTGTAAAAATGTGTAAGGAATTCAAATATATCAATAAAATGCATATGTCACTCAGGGTTAGTGTTTTATCTAAGATAAAGAGAGTAAGGGTATTTCTTTAAAATCCCTCAAGGGGAGATAACTCTGTAAATGTGGTTTTCATAAAATCCCTCAAGGGGAGATAACTCTGTAAAATGTGGTTTTCAGAAAGCGATATAATTTGCTTTTTAGTGTATATACATGTAGTTGGACATATATTTAAAGAGTAATTAATCACCAACATTTCTTCATGTTACATAACAGGTCATCAGGCCAGTAAAACATACATGCATGCACGCACACACACATGTAATAGTTTTAAAATTATTAAGCTAATTATGAAAACTCACATTGAGATTTTGGTATTTCTGTTAAAATGCAAGGGCTACCTCATCACGGATCATACTCATCGTCAGTAGCTGAGTCACTGTCATCTTCTCCAGCCTCACCCTCATCTGATTCTTCAGGGTCTGGAAATGTGCTACTCATTTGTTTTGTGACACATGTAGGTACCTGTGGTCCTTCGTACCATACAAGTTGAAAAGTTCCATCCTCCAACTTCCATCCATCCGAAACTACAAGTCCGATGACTACCAAATTTCTGGATCAGGTCTGGAATCCAATTACCTTCAATTTCAACTGCAGGATCCATGGGGCTACGAGGCACCGTTTGGCCGCCATATTGGATTTAAGGAAATTTCACATTTTTGACGGGTAGGCATTTCCGGTCATCCGCTTGTCATGTGTGTGTGCATCTGATAGCTGAAGTCCTGGCGATTCCAGAACACTAATTGTTTTAACTGTAGACCGAAGGACAACGGAGCTACAGCCTGTCAAAGAGGGAACTCTTTCTTCTCGGGAACTTCTTAAAAGGTACATGACCCCGCGACCTCGGCTGTATTTGGAAGATCCGCTCGCCTGTCAAAAACGTGTTCTGGCTCTGTTTTGGACGATTTAAAGCCCTCAAATACGTTTCAAACACCCCTAACTCTGAAACCAACCGTCCGATTTCGACTAATATTTACCTGTACATGTAGGCTTTTAGTTCTGATCATATCTGCCGATTTCAGTAATGTATCTCCAAACACAATAGTGGGAGAAATGATTATATTTTCCACACTACAGTTGCTATCGGTGCACAATGAAAGTTAGCAGTATGTGTCCCAAACGTTTGCTGATGTTCTATGGTGCATGTGGATAGTAACACCGTTTGGTACATATGTTTTTCATGCTTGTTCGAGATAAATGAAATAGCATGTATCAAATGTACAGTAAATAATAACAAGAACAAGAAGTTAATTGGAAAGTACAGAAACAATGTGATGATAAAGGCTTACATGTAGAAGCCAGTGACAATGGATTACATTTATAAGCCAGTGGGATGTACAGAGCAGGAGAGGTTGGACATGTTTATACAAGTTATCCAAGCAGTTAGGGTTGGTTGATGAGTTCGTCGTATGCTGAGGGGATGAAATAATCTTGATCTCTGTTGATCAGGGGTCGGTGTCGTTTGATGTGGATGGCATAAGTTAATATCCGTTTGGTAAAGCCAGATTGTTTGCCAGGATTGTGTATTCTGGTGTATTCTGTATTTGGTGATTGAGGTTGGTCTGAATGTCTTCTGAAATAGCTGATTTGTTGTCGAATTTGTTTGTTGATGCCTGGTGCTCTTTCACTCTGGTGTTTACTGGCTTAGATGTTTTGCCAATGTAAGAATCTACATCGAAAGTGTCATTATCCACACAATACTACACAATTCTTTGTATCTAACGCATCTAACCCTGGACCATATGAATTCAAAGTCAACGAATGACGAATTTCCCATTACTGGCAGTGATATGATTCCTATTAACTGTAGCCATTACTACTTTCAACATCTACATCACAGGTACAAGTGGCTAGATTGTATGAAACCAAAGGAGCCCTAAATCGCTGCTCGCAGCTATATTTGATATATGAATTCCTTACACATTTTTACACAATTAAAAGCCTTAAATACTGTATTATATTATACTTTAGTTTCATTACACTGAACTTCAGGTGGTAAAATGACAAAAAAATTGTAAATCTACGAAGAAAAGCAATATGTCATTACTCTACATACCACATTGTTAAACATTTTATTTTGTGAAATTACACATATATCTTTCTTCTTTGCATTGCAACCAGTTTGGGTGAAATACTGAGTATTTGTAGTTGGGAAATGGCATTTAGAAGGATGCAGCAGTTTACCTGAAAAAAATGCGGAGTCA